CAGCACTATTCTTTGCAAGCAAATCTCCCGTTATCGAAATTGTTTGTTACCTTCCATTATTTTTCAACATAAACACAATACATAACCTCACTCAAACACATGGCACTGACGTGACAGCTGCCTACAGCAAAGAGATGCAATGTCGCGACATTTCTCTTGTACGAATGTCAACTGAAGTCAAATCTTGAACTGTTTACATTTATCAGTAGATAAATTGATACGTAATCGAATGAAAAGTTACATTATAAAACCAGTAATTATACAAGTGTCTAGAATATATCCATAAAAATGGTTTTTCTTAAAATAAAATTTAGCCTTTATATTGACTCATATGGTACATGGCCCAATCACCTTAAGAAGACTGCAATTTTAAGTCTAGTGTCTTATGGTTAGAGAATATTCCTCTAGATTTTAAAATATTTTCTTGAAACCGTATTTCAGAGAAAAATCCTGTAAAATCAAGCGAGAGCCACTAAACGACAGAATATTTTTTTTGGGTGTTTATAAGGCAATTATCAAGGCCCTGATTATTTAGCCTCTAAGGGCCCTAGATAAAAAAGCGTGACATTCCAAAATGGGGCCAATGTGGGCGTCCTAACATGGGCCTCAAATAAAGTAAGGAAGCTCTTTCAAGGCCCGGTTACAGCCTAGGAAAAATTTCTACACGGGATACGCTTGAAAGAGACGCGGGACTCTAAACACAACGCTGAATATCGTGTGATTAATATCGCACTACCACAACACGCGCGATATTTTCAATCAAACGCACTTTAACTCCCACAATCGCGGAACGTGGCGCGAGGAATGGACACGGTCGCACGAAGAGATCGCTCAACACAACTTGCGATTACAATTAGTAGACGAAGACGTCGAACACGAAATATCATAACACAAGAAGGGACTAAACCTAACACAAGTAGTGCACGCGAAATCTATTATTCGGCAACGCGAATTACGACGCACAATGAAACGCTCGTTATTCTTTGACAGATGTACCGCCCTAGTCAAACTCCCCGCCTGGCAGTGTCCTCGAATCGGATCACGCGGGAGTATTAACGGCGATCGGCCGCGAGGCCTCACGCCATTCTGACACGCTTGGCTTTAGAACACCGTGACCGGGCACGAAGCCCTCGGGGCACGCGCTCCGCCTAACCGAGTAAGTAAGGAAACGATAAAATAATACACGCGGTCGCAAACACGGCGGACGCGAGAAATGGCGAATTTGCGATCTTAAAATAGTCGCCTGCGTTCTTCCCGCGATTTGCAGGAGCCTGTAAATTCAATCCGCGATCCTCTGTAGCCAACGAGACTATCATGGTACCCCTCGCTCTTGATGCCGACCACCAACGCCAAAATTACGACTTTTCAGCAGTCAACACTAATAGTCAACACGAATAGTTTACGCGTCGGCACCTGAGCAAAAGCGCGACCCGGAGGGCGATGTCGTAGCTTTACATACGCGAAATATTCAAGGCAACCTCACCGAAAATCTGCTCCCTCCCGGGCCGTAGTTCTTCGTCGACGAGGGTCGACGGGATGTCGCCGCCGAGAGAAAAGTCTCGATAGCGGGGCGTAATCGAAAACGCGTGCTAACGCCGGAGGACGACCAGGAAGTCATCGTGAGAATTCGCTCAATAGCTGAATCGATGACGCGCCCCACCTAGAGCGTGCGCGGCCCTTCGGCGCGATAGCGATAATTAAAAATCAGCAAAATTCAAGCAGTTGTAACTTTGTTAAAAATAAACAAAATTTAAATTTAAAGCTTAAAATCTCTACTTTTGAAAGATTACTATTATTTTTTAGTTTCTGTGAGTTTGGTAATTTTTACATATAGAAAACTATAAGCTGGACACAATAGAAAATTTTCCTTTCACTTTGTGGGCCTGTCACGTGCACAAAAAAAATCTGTGAAAATTTTCGACTTTGTGAAAGCTTGAAGTTTTTCTTGCAAAATCTTTTTTTAAAAATGTTTTTACGATTTTTTGTTACTAATTTATCACGGATTGAATAAGAAATGAACATTGATTTTGACTGTGCTTGCTCATAGAATTGTTGCGACGTGAGAGCAGCAACCGACAACTTGTTTTCCTACTTTGCAGCCACATGTGTGACCAATGGTTCATCTGAATTAGATTCTGAACACTAAATCTCGTAAACTTTCAAATATATCTGAATATTTTTCATAAATGGTTGACGTAGTTAGTAAAGAAACAGAACAAAAATAAGATGAATGTTAGGTGACTGCATATATGTGTATGTATATACAGAAAGTATTAAAAAAATATATATATAATAAAAAATATATATTAAAAATGTAATAAAAATATATATTATATACAATTTCATGATGCAAAATTCATAAATAGAAATGTAGTGCTTGTTTTAAAACGTTTCACCTTTTATTAAACAGCTCAAACACAGTTACTTTAACAGACGTTTTAAACACATTTATTATAGATTTTAAAACATTTCCCGTGGTTTCCTGGGTAAATGACGATTATTTTCTTCTTATTTTAACCTTAAATAAGGTGGAAAAAAATGTTTCACAGGTTCTCCATCGGGGCACAAAACGGCCACTTTTAAAAAAACCCCCTTCTTTACCAAAATTTATTTTTTTCTTATTGCTTTCGTGAATAATTAATATTTCCAGACACTAAGATATAAAATCAACGTCTATCATAAATAATATAATGGACTCGATTCAATTAATATTTTAACTTGCCTACAAAATACGAATTGCGCTATAGATCACTTTCTCGTTCTTTTCAACTTTTACAAGACAGCAATTTACTCACAATAAGACATTTACAAGATAGCATATGCATACGTGTGTGATTTTGGATACAGCTTCTAATATATAATATTGTTGCACCCGCGCTGTGAACGTCGCCCGGTATTTCCAGCCGCGGAGCGTCTTTAGCAACAGGCGTTGCTATGTGTTGTTTATACAACCTGGCTGTCAGATTTCCTTCGTACTGAAACTCGAACGGACGTTTCGGTTCGCATTTCGCAATTGTAAACATTTGTAATAAACCATCCTTTCCTTGTTAAACCTGTGTTGTATGATATATTGATGATCACATACATACACACTATCTGTCACGTACTAGTTTACGCGAGCGTTACTTTTGTAGTAACTTATACGATAATTCCTCCACGTAAGGGCCAAAGCACATATGAAGCGTCGTCTACAATGCAGCAGGAGTATACAGTAAGACGTAAGCAGTATAACTTATTGACTAATGGAATTTTTACAATTCAAGAATAATCGACTGTGGTTGGTCAATAGCTTATTACTGCTTACGTCTAACTGTATACTCCTGCTACCATTGTAGACAACGCTTGATAGTCGTAGTCGTAGACATAAGTAATGCTAGGTCTACAATGCGAGTCGTAAAGTCGTGAGTCGTAAGAATTGACCAATCACAGTCAGAAAAAGAATTTATTTCATAAAAAAATTTAAAAAGTATTCTTTTTCAATTTTTCTTGCTATCTTTTTCAATAATTTATTTCTGCATTTTTTGTTTTCCATAAGTGCAATGCGTTCTTAACAATGGTAGGCCGTATCCCGAGTTAGATAGCATGATAAGAGGCTACCATATGTGTCCTGTCCGTATATCACGAGGAATATCACCGAAATAAAAAAGAAAGCCGTTCGCTTGTGGCAGTCGATGTCGTTGTGTTCTTGCTCGGCGACACGAATGCTTGAAATGCCATCATATTATCGATTGTAATGTTACATGGAATAATATGTGAACTACAATTATGTGTCAACTAATATCCATCGATACACTTTGTCGTACACTCGCGCGTTAATTTTTTAAGGCTTGTTCGTTTTAGCTGAACTTCTTGCACAGTTTCTTTTTTCTTTTTTTTCTCCAACATGAAAAGAAATAGTGGAAAGATATAAACTGTGCAAGAAGTTCAGCTAAAACAAACAGGTTTTTAGATAACAATTTTATTTATGTTTGCGTGCGGTGCGATATGTTTAAATTGTTTCTACTTTGTTTTATTTGTAGAAAGAATAAGTTGATAAATATTTATTACGTCAATAATTTTTAATTCTGTGCCTATCTATATTTTATTATTTGCAGGAGATAATTTTTGCAAAGGATAAATATTTATATGCTAATAAATTAGACTCTAACTGTTAGAGATCCCACTGTGATCGTCTATATTTAATTATTTGTACAAGAGATAAATTAGATGAATACTTATAATTAGATGTAAGTAACTTTTTCCTACTACGGTTTATTTTTTTAATTTACTTACTACGTGTTTTACTAATTTAAAAAATTTTTTTAATATGTTAATTTATTACATGGCTTATTTTTAAAACAAATAAATCACTAGCTCCTCTAAATCCATATCTTTAACAAAATATGAATTATATCCGAAATATTTTTTCACAGCTTTAATGCACGATTTGGCATTTAAAAGCGTGGGTTTAAGATTGAGATTTCGAACATAGACTCTCTAATAATTTTAACATTGCCTTTTCTATTAATTCTTGCTTAATGTCAAGAATCTCATCAAAGATAAGATTAGCGTTATCTTTCGGCGACATTTATCACGTTTTCTGTCTTGTATAAACCTAGGAACGTGCATCTTATTTCTCGCGTATAGGGAATAAAGTGCAATTTGGAATAAACGTATCCTCCACTCATAAAGCTCGAATCGTACTTCAAATTAGAGTTTTAACTAGCAATTATTTACCTTATCTTCTTTCTCTTTTGTTTTCTCCCCATCCTTTACATTTGATACCTAGCATTTCACCATGACAAACCTTCCATCTTCCATCTGCCATCGAGCCCATCTCTCTCTTTCTTTCTTTCGTTCACACTTAACTTTTATATTCGATGTAACCGCTGCGTGCGTTTCATGCACTCTGCTATAAATTGCTTATTTTTTTACGCGCACTCGGTGGACACTTCTCATAGCCTTAGAGTGGCGTATATCGTCCTTGACTCGCTAGTTCCAGTTTGGTTGACCTGCCTTACCTTTTGCAGCTCCTCGTCGATCTCCAGCGCCCTGATGAGCAGTGGCCCGAGCACCGCGTACTCCATCTTGCGCAGGTTCACGAAGACGTTGTCCTCCGTAAGGACCTTACCGCGCGGACTCGTCGCCGCCGCCGCCGCCATCGTTGAGCTCGATGCCATGCTGCAACACGGAATAACCGGCGGCTGGACTAGCATCGGTACGGACACGGAGGATACTGGCGCGTTCGTCATCCTTACCCCGGCCAATCAGCATCCCTACCGGCGCTACCGGAATTCTGTCTTGCCGTCGCCATCATCATCTTCGTCGGCCAGCCGCCGGCGATCGCGGCGTTCCGCAGACGCGCGTGCGAAGAAGAGGTTTCGAGCTTTAATTTTGTGCCCACAATGCTTTTTTAATTTTGTGTCTACAATGATTTTTCGCCGAGTTTCAGTGGTTTGAGAATTTTTAGCCCAAATTTTTAGCATATCAACAGTTTTCGTATTATCGTAAATATCATAAATGTGCGTACTCATAGTGTGATAAGATACGCACATTTATAATATCTATACAATGACTTTTGATTTGTATTTAAAATTACGTTTCCATCGTTATCATTGATGTTTGATCGTTTACGCGAATGATAATTGCGGAGAAAAAATGCAATTTTGCAAAAGTATACGAGGTTGCTATTTCGTAAATATATGTGCTTATTTTAGGAACATTTATATAACAAATCATGAGTGTAATATATCACATATTTTGTAGGCTAGATTAGACATTTATATCCGTTTAGATGCAAAGAGAGAGAGTGCATTTTTCACCTGCAATTATCACTCACGTGAACGATTGAACATCAATGATAACGATAAAAGCGTAATTTTAAATACAAATCGAAAGTCATTGTACAGATATTATAAATGTGCGTACTTAATCACACGATGAGTACGCACATTTATGATATCTATATATACAATGACTTTCGATTTGTATTTAAAATTACGCTTCCATCGTTATCATTGGTGTTCGATTGTTCACGCGAGTAATAATTGCGGGGGAAAAAAATGCAATTTCGCAGAAGTATACGAGGTTGCTATTTTGTAAATATATGTGCTTATTTTAGGAACATTTATATAACAAATCACGAGTGTAATATATCATATATTTTGTGAGCTAGATTAGACATTTATATCCCCGTTTAGATGTAAAGAGAGAGATATGGAACTGTATCACTACACGCATTTTTGTGAAAAACTTTCCGCGCGTCAAACGCTTGCGCAAACAGACTTTTCGCGATAATTACCACAAGCCCAAAATTGCCAAAATGTCACGCCGGACGGTTTTCGCAGTGGTGCGGAAAGTGTGAAAAGAGCTTTGCGACGACTGCACTAGATCGCCTCTCCGAAGATCAGCTTTGATGCGAGTGATCCGCGAAGCGCGCTTGCGCGCGCGCACATTTCTCGCTCTTTTCGCGGATCGGAGGTCGATAACCACCCTTGAAATCGATGACACTCGAAGCAAATTTGAGGGGCGGAAGAGTGGCATTGAGATCATAATTTGGTAAATAAATTTTGGACACAAGATAGCGTTTAAAATAGACCTTACCATTGGCAAACTTGCGTGTTCCTTCTACTTTTTCTATCCTTCAAGGTTGCACTGTTCTCTTATCTTGTAATTTTCTACGTCCAATTAAATGCATGTTAAATCCAATTTTTTCAAAGGATTATAGAAATAAGAGACGCATGCAGTATAATGAGAGACAAATGTTAAATAGCGACAGATAATGCGTATAGACAAGAAGTCTACATATTCTTTTTCTAACTGCACTTTTTTTTCTATAATCATTCCTTTATCTCTTAACACTTGTAATAATATTCCATTTTGCATTAACAATGTCGATCATCGAAAATATTTTAATTACCAAAAAAGGTGTCGCAAAGAAAAATGACATTTTTCAATGATTTAAGATATCGACGGAGAAATACGAAACATATATTCGAATGCAGAAATATTAAACAAAAATAAAATATAAAAATATCTTTTTGAAAATTTCTTTTTTTGTACATTTCTTATCTACGTGCAAACAAATTTTTTACAGTTATTTAAAAAATACAATACTTTTGACAATATAACATTTTTTTTTGAAACTATATATTTTAAAATTGATAGAAACATTTTTCAAAGCGAATTTATTATATACATTTTTTAAAGTTTTTATATATCTGTACCTTGAAGGTACAGATATACTACGGAGGACGAGCGTGGCCTAGTAGACAGCGCACTGGTCTATTGAGCCAAAGGTCTCGGGTTCGATTCCCGGTAGAGTTAGAAAAATTTTATTCGCTCATTCTCCTCTCGGAAGGCAATGGCAAACCACCGAGAGTACGTCTCGCCAAGAGAACTTCTCTAAAAAATATAGCCGTTCGGAATCGGCGCTAAACTGTAAGTCCCATATACAATGTGTATAATCTACGTGCGCAACACATGTATATGAAGAGAAGTCACTACGCTCGGGCACAATCATTACTCGAGTAATAAGACTGAGGACCTTGAAGGTAAAAAATAGCTCCAGTTTTCAAAATGGAGTTAATACATTTTTCAATATAATAAGAGCTTAAATTGTATAATGATAAAGCGTCTTATATCTATATTATTACTAGTTCCTAAGATACAATGTTCAGCAAAGTTGTATTGATAATTTTTATAGTGTCAAATTTTAACCAGGTACAATGTGTTATTGGCAGTTGTACTGTTAAACATGTTAGTTAAATTATTTTGTTAAAAAGTTAATAAATTAAGTTGCATGCTACACAGTAAAAAATAAAATGTTAATTGTAACATTTTTCACATGTCCCAAAAAGTTCACTCTAAATTTTAAGTTAAAATAACTCATTCATCGTGTGTTACTTGTTGACAAATTAGAAATGTTTATTAATTGACACTATATTTTATATTTGTTCTTTTAACTTTAAGTGTAATTTAATAGTAAAAATAACTTGTAAAAAATGTCAATATAACATTTTGCTTCGTCTGATGTGAATAAAAAATTGGTGTATCTTAACACAAATATTCAGTTACATGATATAATAACATGTATAAAATGTAATTTTTAACATATATTGAAAGTAATCTTGAGAAATATAACAATTTCAAGAGTTAAAATTTTAACATAAGAACAGTTAAATTATAACATTCCTTATATATTTAATTACTAGAATAAATAACATTATCAATATGTAAACATTTGTGTTAGTATTTTGACATTAAAATATGTAAGAAAAGGATATTAATAAAAATAAAATGTAGAGGAGACCGGGGCTAGACCGCTAGTTTTTTTTCGGTGCCGATTTTTAACAACAAAATAAATAATTGTAGTTAAAT